CAACCACTAATCTTAACTAGATAGAGAACTGAGGTAAAGCAGTTGGCCCCGTATGTGTTAGAGGCTGGACTTCAACTCAGCTTTTGCTGATTCTTTCTCCATTGATTATGCTATGGTGCCTTTCATGTCATAACAAAGAGACCTCAATAAAGCATATTTTAAAGTATAGAAAGTTAACTGTGAAAAGTAGAACTATTTCATCAAATATTCTACTGTACTTCTAATTGCAGAGTATGGAATTTTGTTTAGTGAATAGTCTGAATCATAGTCTGCTTTTGGTAAAATTCAAGTTTCATTACTTTCAAGCATTTATAATTACAGTCTTTTGATTTTATAAGAACCTGCTTTTGTGTGTGACGTAATTTGTAGCATTTACTTACACTTGTGAAATCACAGGTCTAGAGCAGGTGAAACAGGGTTTTCATGGCATTAATTTGTGAGGAAATCTTTTTTATACCACCTTTTGCCTAAGGAAGTCTTTCTCACTACTACAAAAGAAAATGTCAGTCTGGTCTAGCTCAGATTGACAAAATGTGAATTAGTGGTATCTGAATGAATGATGGACAAAACTCTTATTCAATGCTGTGTGCTAGGGAATACAAGTAGAAAAGTGAGATAGTTCCTGCTCTCAAGGAGGCTCACATTCTAATTGGGGCAGACAGCACACATAGGAGTGTTCAGCTACGGGGCAGATAGATGATAATGCCCAGGGGTCCTAGGGGCCAGCTCTAGTGCAGATGACAAGGCCTGGTTATCTGTCATCTTACTGGGAAGACTGTAGTTGGTATATTCCTCTTCACTGAAGCAATGTGAGCTGTCATGTCTGCCTTGAAACTAGTGATTTGGAGGGAACAGGCTCGTGATTCCTGGAAAGTAGGGAGTTGGGTCTAAGACTCAGGGATGGGGAACCTGTGGCCTTGGGGGCGCATGTGGCCCCGTAGGTCCTCAGGTGTGGCCCTTTGACTTTTTCACCGGAAGTTTGGTTTCAGTCCAAGGGTTGAGCTTGAAGACCTAGAGGGCCACATGTGGCCTTGAGGCCAAAGGTTCCCCACCCCTGGTAAGTGTTAGATTAGAGTAGTTGCTTCAGGTTCCCTCCTTCAATAGTGATAATGGAGGGAGGGTAGTAGGTTTGGACAGCAAAAGAAGAAAGACTGGGGTAAAAGGCAGATGCCAGTGGGTTCTGGATAGGGCTAATATTACATGCAGAAGATTGAAAGATAAAAGCTTGTGAATATAGAGATTAGATAAAATCTCACTCATTTACCCTGAGAGTGACATTCTAGCAGGTCATTTGGTTCATAGTTATTTTGTTTTAACATCTGAGTAATATAGCAGAGAAAAGAACATAATTGAAATATTTAAGTAGACAAAAACAAATAAAATATTAAAATATGGAAAGGACAGAAATTTAGAGATCTAAGAATTTTATATTTTAGTCCTGATTTATTACTACTCTGAAATCTAGCAATTCATCTTATCTTGTGATTGCTAGCCTTTTAGTCTGTAGTTAAACTACCCAAGTTTCATAAAAATAAATAAGATAAAAAAATGAGAAATTTTTAATTGGTTCTTCCTGTACAGTCATACAGTATAGGAGAGTGAGGAGGAAAACAACAAATTACATAAATTGCCTATAAACTACTCTCTTACTGGCAGCTTATTCTGTAAATAATCCTATTTGGATTAAATCCAAACTAAAAGCAGAAGGGGAAAGGTATTGTTTGATGGAATATGGCAGTAGATTGGAACTTTTCACCTTGGGAATTATTCAATGAAAATAACGGATGTCCTTTTCATCAAGTTGTAACATAACTTGTTTAAACATCCTTTTACCTGCATGTGACCAAACAGGCTTTTTAGGGTTTTCAGTCACGTGCTGTCCTTGAACTTTACTCTGGACCATAAAAGAAGTGATTCAAAAAAACAAAAACTAACAAAACTAGGCCAAATGGTCAGTTGCTGGACTTGACCTTAGTTTATAAAAGAGTTAGGAGGGAAAACGTAGGCTCAGCTCTTCTGGGGAAGATAATGATATATGCCAGTAATATTTAATTTAGAGATTGTGCTGGATCACAGATACATGTTGAAAGTTTTAATTTACTTAGTGTCATTTTTATATCTGGAGAAAATAGAATTGTTTCCTAGGTTGAATAACCATAACACTTTATTCCAAATTATATTTGCTTAAATTTTAACCTTTTACTGCTTGAGAAGGTAGTGGGAGTGTAGTGGCTGAAGGACTGGCCTTTGAGTCAGGATGACCTGGGTTCAAGATCTTGACACATTCCTGCCAATCCATGCCTTGGGTCAACTACCTTAATCATAAGTTGTAGAATAGTTGAAGATCTATATTGATAGAGAGAGTTTCCTTTCCTCATTGGGAGCTTCCTATGCAATGACATCACATATTCTCCAGGCTTAATTATTTAAAACAGATGACTTAAATTAGAAGGCATCATGTAAGTTGAGAGTATTAAATAACTTGCTGTTTTGCAACAGCATTCTAAGCATTTTCCTATCAGTTTGATAAAAATTAGTAAATATAGAAATTGTTGAAATGAGGCAAAGAAGATGGGAAAGAACCACCAGTAATGAAAAATAGCAATTCCAAGGAAAAAGTACAATGAAGGGCTTGGTGGGCCATGCTAAATGAAGTAAACAAAGAGAAACTGTGGGCAGGAAAGGGAAAGTAGAAGAGGCCTTGAGAATTAAGTGTAAAACAGTACAAGAAGTTTATTCTTGCTGTATAATTTCTGATTTCTTACAGAAAAGGCAAGTAAGTTCTCATTGAAATTTTTAGTGAAGAAAACATGAATGAATGAAAAAGCATTTAATAATGCTATTCTGTACCAGGCACTATTCTCCGTGCTGGGTATACAAGTGCAAAAATGAGACAATCTTCAAGGAACTTACATTCCAATCAGGGAAGACTGGATTTCCCTATCTTGCTTTATCACCATTGACACAGGAGTTTTGGCCTGCTTTGTTTCTGACCTGTCTGGGTCTTCCCTCCTAGGGCAGCCTGGTGGCTCCCTGCTGCCAGGGACTCACTGTGCCAGACTTAGTATGGACCTTAGTCCTTTTTAGTATACTACATCTCAGAACTCTTGAGCCCAACTGACCCACCAGACCCAACCTTCCCAGTAGAAGGGGTTATAAGGGAATGCCACTCACCGTAGATAATGTAGTGCTTTAGAATTTTGTAAATGGCTTTTACATGTACATTCTCATTTGACCCTCTTAGGCATACCAGGAGGTCATTATTAGAAGAAGTGGCACCCCCATTTTATAGGGAAGGAAACAGGCTCTGAGGTATCATGTGATTTTCATTTGTTCAATTTCAGTCCGAGCTAGGACTCAAACCCAGGCCTGATGGAAGATTAGTATTTTTCTGTATGTCATAATATGGAGTGAATCCATTTCTAGAATATCGTATGCCCACCACATAATTTCTTCCTTTGTTAATGAAGTGTCTGAAGGAAATGTCATTGGAGAGTTGTTTATTAATTGAGTTACCACTATATAGCAGATTATAGACCATGAGAAGGATATAACATAAGCTTTTACTTTTTATAATGGTGTGGCTGAATCAAGATCTATTTATAGATGTGAGGAAACTCATATGTTTTTCATGTCCAAATATAGAATGATGTTAATGTATTTTGTTAGCAGATTATCTTGCAAATGTTTTGGGTCTCAGTAGGTTACTGTAGTTTACTGAACAAAATGTCCTGTTCTATCAGCCATCCCTTTATCAACCAAATATGCCCATTTTCCATTCTTTCATTATCTATTAATGTCATTCACAGATCAAAATGAATCAGGATATTTTAGCCTTGATAAGTACCCTCTTGTCACTATCACAGCTATGCCATCCATTTTTCTTTGTACTCTGATGCTTGCGTAATGTTTGTAAATTTACCATTACAGCTGCCAACTTCTCCAGCCACTTCCAGTGTTGCTCTTTAGGGACACCCAATGAGAAGTAGATTTGGTTATGAAAAGTGTTTTAGATATTCAACATGGATGCTAACAATTCTATGTTATTAGTCTAGATACTTAACTAATAAAAAGATTCTCTTGTCTTCTAGTTTTTTAATGATGTCCAAAAAAGAGGTTTTTTAAGAGATATTTTTATAATCTGCCATTGTGATGCTTCACATCATGAGACAAGGGAATAATTCTAAAATGTATTAAAGAATAAGATTATGATGGAAATTCTAATTATATAATTTAAACTCAAAATTGTGACAATTTATGATACTAAAAGTTTTTGTAAAAGTCTTCATACTTTAGTATGCATATATACACATTTAAGTTATTTTGGTGAATTTGGATGTTCTTTCACAAATATAATTTTATTTCATTTTATTCTCTCCCCTCAAATTAAAATAGTTGTTAATATTTGCTATTATTGAATTAAGTAACTCAGTTACTACCATTGTAATTTATAGTAGCAACTGATACTGCAGAAAGGGATTATTATGAAGTGAATAATTTAGTTTGCAAATTTTATTCTGTTCATGGGATTTTGAGAATGATTATATATATATATGAATGAATGAGATTTGATTATATGGCTTTGTATGCAAGGTTATTTTCCCAGTAAATTTTAAGAAAGCCCTGAATTATATTTTGATTGCATTAGAATTCTCTTCAATGGCTTATGAATCAACATGCTTTAAAGGGTAGAATAAAAACTTAAAAAAAAAAAGTAGTTCCTTTGCATTGCAGAGTTATTTCATCTCTACAATTGTATGGATCAGTTTTTCCTCATGGGTTCCTCCAGTAGATAGTTCCATGAATCTAGTGAGGATATCAGGTTTTCAAGAGCAATTCTTTACTAATATGGTAGGAAGAAAATAGATACATTTCAACAGTAGCTGTTGATTAGACTATCTTTTGCTAATATCAGAGGTTTTTCCCTTTAGATCATTGCCAGTCTAAATCTTTTTTAGGACATTTGTTTCATTTATTGATTCTCATTGCTGTCTTTTCAGGGCTTCAAGAATATGTGGAAGCTGTGTCTTTTCAACACTTCATTAAAACACGTTCACTAATCAGTGTGGATGAGATCAACAAACAATTGGTATTTATATCAGAAGACACTGGAGAAGAAAATGACACTGTAAGATTTTTTTTGTTTTAATTTATGTCATTTTGTTTATTTTTTTTGTTGTAACTGCAAAAAAAAAAACATTTTTGGAGGCAGGGGAGGTAATTAGGATCCATTGTTGTTTATTTGTAATGGTAATAATAATTACTGACCTCTATGTAGTGTTTTACAGTTTTCAGAGTACTTTTCCTGCAGTGTCTCATATTGTCCTCATAACCCTGTGAGCTACTGCAAGTATTATTATCTGTATTTTATAGATGAAGAAAAACAGGACTGAGAGATAACTCCTCTAGTTATGTAGTTAGCATGTATTGGAGGTAGGATTGATATAGAATTTGTGGAAAAATGATTCTGTCCTTTGAAGAGTTGTGGGGCATATGGAAAAATATTATCTTCTGACTAAAGTAGGCTCAGCAAAAGGAAAACTTTTTTATAAAGCTATCTAGGAATATTTGTTTGGTTCCTGCAAAGAGTACTTAATGATAAAATTAAAGGATTTTTCCATAGTACCATATGAAATAGAAAATCAGTGGATGAAGAGAAGAAAGGAAAGTAATATTCACTCAGAGTAATCAATTAGAAATTTATACTGTAAGCCAACAGACTGTGGTTTTGCTGCGACTGATACAACTCAGTTTCTAGCTGTTCTTTCTCTATGCAAAATTTTTTAATCCTGTGTAGGAGATTTTTTAAAGAGAAATGATTAAGTAATGTCCACAATATTCAGGCATTCCATTTTACTGATGCTTTGCTGTTATATTTGGCCTTCTTATTTAAAATGGCCTAACATATGGTAAGAAGCAAAGCAAGTGGAATCTGTTTAAACATGTTTGTTAAGGACACATGTTGTCTCCCCCACAGAACGTAAGCTCCTTCAGGGCAGAGACTGTTTATATCCCTAGTGCCTTATTTTGCAGTATTATTGAATTTAGTCACAGACAATAACCCTTCACAGGATTCCTCAGTTTGAAGTGAGAATATCCTGGGTGAATAGAGAAAATTTTTTCTCCTTGGTGAAATCTCCAGGAAGTATCCAGATAATTGAAGTTTCCTATACCTATTATGTTATGCAGGCTTATGATATTTCTGAATTCATCTTTTTTCCTCCCTCTCTTCATGAGGCTTACAGTAGATTTCACTTATAGTATTGATTTTGTTTTTTTCTGCTGTGATCTGTGCTCATATGCTCTCCATCATGCTTTCTACCTCTGGTCCCTGGGTTTATCATTATTGTTATAATAATAGTTAATAGTAAGCCTATATATTGTACCTACTGTGTGTCAGACACTGTGCTAAATGCTTTACAAATGTTATCTCATTAGATGCTCACAAAAACCATGGGAGGGAGGTGCTACAATAATTCCTGTTTTACAGTTGAGGAAACTGAGGAAAACAGGTTAAGTGACTTGCCCACGGTCACACAGCTAGTATCTGAGGGTGAATTCAAATTTAGGTCTTCCTGACTGCAGGCCCAGCGCTCTGCACTGTGCTGCCTAGCTGCCTTTGAACATTTCTTCTTCTTCTTTTATTTTTTTTTTTAACAGTCTTTTCTTTTTAAATTGAGTTCCAAATCTCCCCCCCAACACACACACACACTGAGATGAGAAGGCAAGTAAAATATCAGTTATACATGTGAAATAATGCAAAATGTTTCCATATTAGCCATACCACAACAAAAAACAAAGTGAGAAAGTTATACTTCAGTTTGCACTTGGAGTTTATTGGTTCTCTCTCTGGAGGTAGATAGCATTTTTTTTTATCATGAGTCCTTTGCAATTGTCGTGGATTATTGTATTGGTCATAGTAGCCAAGTCTTTCTCAGTTGATGGTCATTACAACATTGCTATTACTCTGCACAATGATCTGGTTCTTTTCGCTTCATTTTGCATCAATTCATATAGGTCTTCCCATGTTTTTTTTTCAAAAACCACTCTCCTCATCATTTCTTATAGCACAGTAGTACTCCATCACAATCATATGCCACAGCTTGTTCAGCTATTCCCCGATAATGAGTATCCCCTCAATTTCTAATTCTTTACTACCACAAAAAGAGTTGGCTACAAATATTTTTATACATATGGGTCCTTTTCCTTTTTCTTTAATCCCTTTGGGGTATAGACCTGGTAGTGGTATTTCTGGGTCAAAGAGTATGCGCAGTTTTATAGCTTTTTGGGCATAGTTCCAAATTGTTCTCCAGAACGATTGAACTAGTTCCTGGTGTACCTATTTTCCCTCAATCTCTTTGACATTTGTCATTTTTTTTTTTTGACATTTGTTATTTCTGATGGGTGTAAGGTGGTGCCTTAGAATTGTTTTAATTTGCATTTGCTTTGATGTCTTCTGAAATTTCTTCTGAAAGCTGCCTATTCATATCTTTTGACTATTTATCAATTGGGGAATGGTGCTTATTTTTGTAAATTTGATTCAGTTCCATATATATTTGAGAAATGAGGCCTTTATTAGAGAAACTTGCTGTAAAAAATTCTGATATTCATTCTCAAAGGTACTTTTTAGCAAAATGTAATTTCCTTGATTATCTCTTTTAATTAGATCAATTTTTGCTTTTATTTGATTTGAGATCATGATTGCTACCTTTTTTACTTCAGCTGAAACAATAGATTCTGTTCCAGCCCTTTATTTTAACTTTGTCTTTCTGTTTCAAGTGTGTCTCTTGTAAACAACATATTGTTGGATTCTGTTTTCCAGTCTATTCTTCTATCCACTTGAATTTTATGGGTGAGCTCATCCCATTCACGTTCATAGTTTTGATTACTGTGTATTTCTCTCCATCCCCTTTTCTTATGTTTATCCTTCTCTCTTTCTTTTTATCCTGTCCTTCCTCAAAAGTCATGTTTTGCTTCTGAGCATTTCCTTCCTTAATCTACCCTCCCTTTTATCACCCCCCCACCCCATATCTCTTATCCCCTTCCCCTCCTGTTTCCTTGTTGAGTCATATAGATTCCTATCCCCAACTAACATATCTTCTTAACATCCTTCCTTGCCCCTTAGCAAGGGCCTTAGTTCTGTTTTACTTTTCCTACTTCTTTTGAATAAGATATATCCTTCTTGAACTATATCCTAATCATGGGTCTCATCCAATCAAATCTTAGTTATACCTGTGAGGTCAAATTTGCCTCTGTATGTTAAGCTCCTCTTATTTATTTTGCCTATTATGTGGTCACATCTATCTAAGTATAAAATGTACCAAGAAGAAACTTAAGTGATTAAACCTTATTGTTTTAGAGTATTGTCATTATTTTCTTTTGCATGGCAAGTATAGTCAATTTATTTGGTTTAATCATTTAAAAAAGTGAAATTGTGGTATAATGGATAAAGAGTCAGTCTTCCAGGCAGGACTTCTGCCATATACTGGCTAAGAACTGTGGACAAATTGCTTAAATTCTCAGTGACTCAGGCAATTATCTTTAAGATTTTAAGTTATAGAGCAGGTGCTGATATTCATTGGTAGAGGGGATTCCCTAATCAGGGGTTCCCAATACCTGTGAAATCACAGGTTTGATCTAAAATCAACAAAGTAGATTAATTACTTTGACGGTGAGTTGCATGATCGATCTGCCCTTCAGTGTTGCAATGTACATTTTAGTGCATGTTATATTTGCTGTTTTGGAGGTAACTAAGTAGCATAAAGAATAGAGCACTAGACTTAGAGTTAGGAAGATATAAGTTCGTGTCCTGTCTCATACATTTGCTAGCTGTTGGGGAGGCCACTTAAATTCACTCAGCCTCATTTTCTTGATTTGTAAAATAGGACTTATAAAAGCACCTATCTCCCAAGGTTGTTATGAAGATAAAGTGAAATGACATATGTAAAGTGTTTGGAAGTAATATCTATGTGCTAACTATTTATTAATTTATTATTTTTCACTGTTTTCACAATTTCCTCTCTGTGTACTTTTTAAAAAATTAGATCTCCTCAGATTTAGATGATAAGCCCCTCTGCACTTGGAGCCTGAAGGTGACACCTGTTGATTATCTTCTGGGTGTGGCAGATTTGACTGGAGAATTGATGAGGATGTGCATCAACAGTGTGGGAAATGGGGACATTGACACCCCTTTTGAAGTGAGCCAGTTTTTGCGTCAGATTTATGATGGGTTTTCATTTATCGGTAATACAGGACCTTATGAAGTATCTAAGAAACTATATACACTGAAACAGAGTCTAGCCAAGGTGGAGAATGCATGCTATGCCTTAAAAGTTAGAGGTTCAGAAATTCCAAAGCACATGTTAGCAGATGTGTTTTCAGCCAAAGCAGAAATGATTGATCGTGAAGAGGGTATTTCATAAAAGAGCAATACTCAACTCTTGCAATTTCCATAAGGGAGATCAGTTTGAAAGACTGTTATTTAGTATTTCATTTTACTTTTTGTGGCTTTTACTTAGTAATATTTTCAGTTTTACCTGACAAAATTATTTGCACTGTTTTAAACTCTGTATATTGCTGTACATAAAATTGATGAAATGATTTACTCCATGTATCTCCTGTTTTAAAATTTTTGGCATATTTGGCTGTCTGAACCTCCCAGTGACCAACTGCTGTCTGTCACATATCCCTGTGAAGTACTTATTTCATAGAGCAGTCACTGCCATTCCCATTATAGTTAACTGTTGAATTATGAATTGTATAATGTTTTGTTAAGTCATTAATAATTTGAATTGGTGATTCTATTACATCTAAAAAGGGCTTTTTAGCCTCATGTTTTGTCTTGAACATCTTATTTGAATATATTGCATCAAAGCCAGTAGAATGGATTTGGTGTCTAAGCATGGTACCAAAGGCTTGGAAAAGCCATGACCTACATAGAACAGTTAAATAGAAAAGAGAATTCACTGAATTCATGTGAAATGAGAGCAGTGAGAATTGACATTGTGTTCTGATTAATCCGTATGGATTCATGTGTTTTAGTAACACATCTTTCAGAACAAGCCACTTGTGCCAGCTATCCTATTTTGAATTGAAATCTGTCTTTTGCTCTTCATCACAGAGGAACTGAAATAGAATTGTTGCTAAAGGTAATGTGCATTATGAAGTTTGGGCAGAATTAAATATTTTCACATGGAAATGAAATATGTTTGCCAACAGTTGATTAAAAAAGAAAGCGCTGGTTAAATGTTGTTTATTAAATATTATTACAGCTAGGCTGTTATTTTGACCATCATGCATTTTACTTTGATTTACCTTGATGCCTGCCTATTCTGGCATCTCTTAGGAATCACTTTTAAAAATAACAATGAAATATTGTTGTAGGTTAAAAGATTTAATTCATCCATAACTTCATAGTTGTCCAACTATGTTAATTGAAATATAGAAGTTACCAAAGAAAAATTATCATGTATAATTCAGCAATAAGACATTGCAGTTCCAAGTGCTTTTAGCAATAGTATTAGTCACAGAGCCAAATCCTGTAACTAATCCCCTAGGAACTAGAATGGTGGTCCCTTTTTTGCCAGTACTATTTAGAATTGGAATTTACACACTAAAATTAGGAATAGCTAATTTCCTGTGATGTTGACATAGGCATTATACAATTGATACAGAAATTTCCATTTGAGTTTGTTTTGAGAACTTTGGTAAAGAAATGAATTTGAGGGAGATTGGCCCTGACTATAAGGGCTCCTTTCTCTATATCAACCTTTGAAGGGAATGTGGAAATATGATGTGCCTAATGTCAGGTCTTTTGGGTATGTTTGCTTTTTCAAATAAATCTCTGTTACTATGCTGTAAGGTACTCTGCCTACATATTCCCCTCTTACTATGTTATGTTTTTTTCACATAAACCACTTTGCATTACATTTTAAATTTATTTACCCTTTTACTTTCATCATTTCCATGTAAAAAATAATGGATTGATAAAGGATTGTTTTGTGAATGTTTAAAATGAAATATTTTGAATAAAACCATTTTAAAATATAGAAAAAAGTGTCTTTCAATCATAAAAATAACCTTTTTTCTACAGAATTTATCAGAACTGAAACCATGTTGGAGGCTTGACCGATGTGGCAATTGAGGGAAACAGTCGTTTACCTCATTAGACTATTCTAAATATCTCACAGTACTCTATAGTCTTTATTTAAAAATTTTTTTGCTTTGGCAACTACAAGTTGATGGGTGAAAGATGTTGGTGTAACTGTTCATGTTTTACATAAGGGAAACAAATCTAAGGTGAAGAAGAGATGATTAACTTGTGTAGGGGTCTTGCAGCTAGTTGGTGAAATAGAAGCTGGATCATCTTGTTCCCTAATTTATTTTTTGTATTCCCATATCATAAGATGACATAAGCTGCAGCATTGCAGCTTACAACACTCCATTGTGCCTGAGCCAGATTAAAATGCAATTGGGAAATATTCAGCAAAATAAATAAAAATGCAGTAGAACATAGACAGTGTTAATATGTGGTTTTCTAAGTCATTATGTGACCCACAGAGATCCTTGTGTATGGTTTTGTGGCCCTTTTTCTGTTTAAGTTTGATAGCACTGCACTAGACCAGTACTGCCCTACTGGTATATTTTTTATAAGCAAAAAAAAAGTCAAAGATACTTTTTGATTAAATGGACAACTGGTATATTTTTTATAAGCAAAAAAAATGTCAAAGATACATTTTGATTAAATGGATAATCATAATAAAGTTGGAATGAACTTCCGAATAATTCCAAATACAGACCTATGAGGCTATCTGTTAGCAAATGCCTTACCTTTCTAACTAGGAAAGCAGCACCATATATAAGTATGCACAAAATAAATACAAGGATGATAAATACAAAGTTGTTAAATATAAGGTAGTTTGAAAGAGAAAGATCTAGTAGTTGTGATCAGGACAGACTTCTGCTAGAATGTGGCGATTGAGCTGAGTCTTGAAGGGACAGACCCAGTAATGCTACTATGATATCTATGCTTCAAAAAGATCAAAGAAAGAAAAAGGACACGTGTTTTAAAAATAAATAAACAAATGAAAATTGCTAACATCTATTAGAACCAGGGGGCAAAGTGAAAATATAAATAATCAATGGATCACCTCCTAAGAGAAATCTAAAATGGAAAAGTCCCAGCAATGTTTTAGACAAAATTCAGAGCATTCGCATGAAAAAACCACTGCAAATGGCCAGAAAGAGTTCGGGCATGAAGGACCCACAGTCAGGATCACACAAGATCTAAAAATGAGAGATCTTGGGATTCAGTATTCTAAAAAAAACAAAAGATACAACTGAGAATAACTTACCTTGCAGGAGTGAGTATAATCCTACAAGGAAAAAAATGTCCATTTATTGTAATTAAAGTACTTCTCCAGTATTCCTGATAAAAAGGTCAGAGTTGAGTCGGGAGTTTGAAATATGAACTCAAGACTTGAGAAAAACCTAGAAAGATAAATATAATTTGAGTAATTAGAAGAAGCTATATGATGATGCTAACATTCTCATAGGAGGAGAAGAAACACGTGTCCCTAATCTTAATATCTTCAAGTGTATTGAGGGAGTTAAATAAGAAAAGCAGGGTCCAGGAGCGGATTGATTCTGCTCTAGGGATTTTAAGAGAGGAAGAAAGGGAAGGGAAAAGGAATATATTAGTATAGGAAAAGATGGAAGAAGAGATGGAATTTACTGTTTCTCACAATGGTGGTGTGAGAGAAGAGTTTGCAAATATGGAAAGAGTGAGGGGAACAGGCATCAAATGAATTTAATTATCTAAGCTGGACAAAAGATAGTTGAACACTCCATACCTACCCCTGACAGAGTTTGGTGTAGGAAATACATCACAAAGTCAACAGGAAAATAGGTTGGAATGTGTAGGGAGGGAGGAGGTAGAAAGGAATATAGATAGGTGCAGACAAACATGCTGATTTCAAAGGGGGAAATTTTAAAAACTTGGAAATTAAGATTGGCCATCAATTGGAAAAGGGCAGAACAAATTGTATATGGATGTATTGGAATATTGTTCAGTAAGGAATGATGAAAGACCATTTCAGAGAATCCCAGGAAGTAGAAACTGATATGGTGAAGTCAGCAAAACCAAGAGAGCAATTTACATAAGGACAACAATGTTGTAAAGGAAAAAAAATACTCTGAAAGACTAAAGTATTCTGATCTGATCAGAGCAACAACCAATTGAATACCCATTTTGGTACAACACGATATGCATCTTCCGACAAACAGATCACCTCTCGTGATCCTGAGGCTGACTGACTCAGGATGTGAAACATGATCTGGACATTTCTAATGTCGAAATTTGTTTTGCTTGACTACATTTATTTGTAAAAAATGTTTTCTTAAAAAAATTTTTAATGTGTGGAGTGTTGGATGGAATAGTAATGGCGATTCTCTATTCCCCCCAAAAAGTGTTATTAAAACATTTTTTTAAGTGTACAGAAAGAGGAGTGTAGAGGGAAGTTCAGAAAGAAGAGTGGCCAGTTAAGACAGTTTTCAGTTTTGAAGTGCTATATACTTTTTAAAAAAGCAAGTGATAGGGATAAGCAGTTTCATATACAATTTAATCCTCTTATGGTGTTCTGCTGTGTATATGGAGATGCTCTTTTTTGTTTAAGTTCTAAATTAAAAAAATACAAGAAGAAGAGGGTTGAGTTCTGTTTTGGAAGAAAAGAATGAGTTCTGTTTTGGATATATTGATTTTGAGATGTCTCTAGAACGTTCAGTTTGATTAATAGGCAGTTGGTAAATGGAAGTGCAGCTTTGGAGAGAGATACATGGATATGTGAATCATCTGCATGAAGACAGAGAGTTCAGAGAAAGAAAAGAATTGGGCATAAGACAGGCACTGAATGATGAGCCAGCAAAGGAGGCTGAAGGGTTGTTAGAGCCTAATGGTTGTTTGTTTGTTTTTTGCAATGGAATGTAATATATATGTATATGTGTGTGTATATATATATGTATATATATACATACACATATATATACTTATATATATATACACATATATATATAATATAAAAGTGCTACTGGGAACATTAAGTAATCAGGGATTTAGCAAGCCAATCACCTCACTGAGGGAATTTATTATTTTTTTTAATTTAATATTTTATTTTTCAACAGTTACACGTAAAAACAATTTTTAACATTCATTTTTAAAACTTTGAGTTCCAAATTCTCTCCCTTCCTCCCTTCCCTCCCCCCACCTTGAGAAGGCAAGTAATTCTATATAGGTTATACATGTGTAGTTATGCAAAACATTTCCATAATAATCGTGTGAAAGAAAACAGACAAAAAAACCTCAAGAAAAATAAAGTTAAAAAAAGTATGCTTCAATCTGTATTCAGATACCATCATCTCTTTCTCTGGGGTATGGATAGCATTTTTCATCATATGTCCTTCAGATTTGTCTTGGATCATTGTATTGCTAAGAATAACTCATTCATGGCTGATCGTCTTATAGTATTGCTGTTACTTTATACACAATACATTGTACTTGGCATTAGCCCATACAAGGCTTTCCAGGTTTTCTTGAGAGCATGCTGCTCCTCATTTCTTATAGTACAATAGTATTCTATCATAATCACATACCTCAACTTGTTTAGCTATTCCCTAATTGATGGGCATCCCCTCAATTTCTAATTCTCTGCCCCCAGAAAAGAGCTCCTATAAATATCTTTGTACATATAGGTCCTTTTCCTTTTTTTTTTTTTAATCTCTTTTGGGATATAGATCTAGTAGTGGTATTGCTAGGTCAAAGGATATGCATGGTTTTAGAGCCCTTTGGGCATAGTTCCAAATTGCTCTATAGAATGGTTGAATCAGTTCATAACTCTACCAAGAGTGCATTAATGTCTCTTTCCCCATATCCCCTCCAACATTTGTCATTTACCTTTTCTGCTCTATTAGTCAATCTAATAGGTATGAGGTAGTACTTCTGAATTTCTTAAATTTGCATTTCTCCAATCAGTAGTGAGTTAAAGTATTTTTTCGCATGGCTATAGATAGCTTTGATTACTTCGTCTGAAAACTGTTCATATCTTTTGATTGTCAATTGGGGAATGGCTCTTATTTTTATAAATTTGACTCAGTTCTTTATATGTTTCAGAAATGAGACCTTTATCAGAGAAAATTGCTTCAAATTTTTTTTCACAGTCACTGTTGCTAACTCTATTTCCCTCCATCTTATTCTTTCCCACCCCCTTTTATTCTTTTCTCTCTTTTCTTTCACCCTGTCCCTCCTCAAAAGTGTTTTGCTTCTGACTACCCCCTCTCTCAGGCTGCCCTCCATTCTATCCCCTCCTCTTCCCCTCCTACTTTCCTGTAGGGTAAGATAGAGTTCTATACCCAATTGAGTGTATATATTATTCCCTTTTTGAGCCAATTCTGATGAGAGTAAGGTTCACTCACTCCCCCTCACCTCCTCCCTTTTCCCCTCCAAGCTTTTTCTTAACTCTTATGTGAGATAATTTACCCCATTCTACTTCTCCCTTTCTCTTTCTCCCAGTACATTTCCTCTGTCACCCCTTAATTTTATTTAATTTTAGATATCATCCCTTCATAATCTACTCACACCTATGCCCTCTATTCATATATACTCCTTTTAACTACTCTAATAATGAGAAAAATCTTATGGATTATAAATATCATCATCCCATGTAGGAATGTAAATAGTTTAATCTTATTAAGTCCTTTATCATTTCCCTTTTCTGTTTACCTTTTTATGCTTCTCTTCAGGCTTGTATCTGAAAGTAAAATTTTCTATTCGGCTCTGGTCTGTTCATCAAAAATGCTTAGAAGTCCTTTATCTCTTTGAATATCCCTGTTTTCCCCTAAAGAATTATACTCAGTTTTGCTGGGTAGGTGATTCTTGGTTGTCATCCTAGCTCCTTTACCCTCCAGAATATCATATTCCAGGCCCTCTGATCCTTTAATTTAGAAGCTGCTAAATCTTGTATTAACCTGACTGTGGCT